CTGCCTCTGATTCTGTGTCTCCCTCTGTCTCTGCCCCTCCCCTGCTCTTTCTCTCTAAAAATAAAATAAGATAAAATAAAATAAAGCTACTGCCAACTATTTGATAATATGTTCATATTTAAAAAGTTTTAAAAAAGCTAACCAGTGATCTTTATTGACCTAGTTCAGTTTGAAATAATCACAGTAAGTGTAGTCACCATCCTTAGACAAGTAGGACTGCTTAAAAAGTGCATTGTCAGGGCCGGAGGGTGGGGGGATGGACTGGGTGGGGGGTGGGCATTAAGGAGGGCATCTGTTGGGGTGAGCGCTGGGTGTCATATGTGAGATATGAACCACTGGGTTCTAGTCCTGAAACCAGTACTTCACTGTATGTTACCTTGAATTAGAATAAAACAATTTTTTAAAGTACACGGTCATTATTGTACGTTTCTTTTTTAATTTAGGATTATCCACACATGTTAATCAAAACTAATGCACCCCTCATCTTTATGGTTGGTGTTTCTTTGTTGGCAAATTATTCGGTCACTTATTGGAAGTTCATTATAATCTATTTAAAGAATATCAACTGGGGGCACCTGGGTGGCTCAGTTGGTTGAACGTCCGACTTCAGCTCAGGTCATCATCTTGCAGTTAGTGGGTTTGAGCCCCACATCAGGCTCACTGCTATCAGCCTGAGACTGTCAGCTCAGAGCCCGCTTTGGATCCTCTGTCCTCCTCTCTCTGCCCCTCCCCTGCTTGTGCTCACTTGCTCTCTCGCTCTCGCTCGCTCTCTCTCTGTCTCAAATATAAATAAAACTTAAAAAAAAATTGTACACTTTAAATGCATCGACTTTCAAAAAATAAAAATAAAGAATATCAACCAAGTTGGGGCACCTGGCTGGCTCAGTCAGTAGAACATGTGACTCTTTATCTCAGGGTCCTGAGTTCAAGCCCCACATTCAGTGCAGAGCTTACTTAAAAAAAAAAAAAAATTCAACCAAGTTTCCTGCCTGGGAAACTCCACCAAAATTGTGTTCCTGAATTCTAGATTATATTCTCTTTATAGAATACAGCAACTTTCAGTAATAAATGTTTGACTTTAAAAAATTGTACCTGCTGTAGGTCCTCACGGTGATCCCAAGTAAAAGCATAATCTGTTCTTCCTTAACTCAGACTTTCCACTCTCGGAGAAACTGGAAATCCTACTTTTATTATCAACTTTTTCTTTGTGGTCCAATATTTGTTTGGATTAAAATGCTTTTTAGGGGCGCCTGGGTGACTCTGGATTTTGGCTCAGGTCATGATCTCACAGTTTGTGGGTTTGAGCACCGTGTCGGCCGGGGATTCTCTGTCTCACAATCTCTCTGCCCCTCACTTAGTGTCTCGCTCTCGCTCTCTCAAAAATAAATAAACTTGAAAATTTTTTTAAAAAATAAAATGCTTTTGGGGCGCCTGGGTGGCTCAGTTGGTTGAGCATCCGACTTGGGCTCAGGTCATGATCTCACAGTTCATGTGTTCGAGCTCCACATCAGGCTCTGTGCCGACAGCTCAGAGCCTGGAGCCTGTTTTGGATTCTGTGTCTCCCTCCCTCTCTCTGACCCTCCCCTGCTCATGCTGTCTTCTATCTCTCTCACAGAAATAAATAAAACATTAAAAAATAAAATAAAATGGGGCGCCTGGGTGGCTTAGTTGGTTAAGCGTCCGACTTTCACTTAGGTCATGATCTCTCAGTTCATGGGTTCGAGCCCCGCGTCGGGCTCTGTGCTGCCTGCCAGCTCAGAGCCTGGAGCCTATTTCGGAGTCTCTATCTCCCTCTCTCTCTGACCCTCCCCTGTTCACACTGTCTCTCTCTCTCTCTCCTAGAAATAAATAAAAATATTTAAAAATAAAATAAAATACCTTTTAAAACTCTTTTTTTACATTTCTAAATGTATTATCTCTAATCAAAAGTAGAGACTACATTGACCCCATGTGTACTCACCCCCCAGTTTTATCAACTTTTCGCCATACTGTAAAACGAAATCTATAATCTTTTTGCCGAAATACTTTAATCAAATTTTGATATGTGCTGTTATTTCATCCCTAAATATTTCAGTGTGTATCTTAAAACCAAATTAAAAACGGATGTTTTCTTAGTAACCACAATATAATATCACATCTATCATGATTAACAATAATTCCTTAATATCATCTAATACTCAGTCCATATTCAAATTTCCTTAGTTGTCTGAAAACATTCTTTCTGTATTTTCAGAGTTAATTTGATCCAGATCGAAAATTGGCCCACTCACCGTATGTGGTTGTTTTGTTATCTTATATCGCTCTTAACCAGAAACAGGTGTGCCCCCCTTTTTTTTGTTGCATGCCTTTGACTTGTTAAAAAACAAAACCAAACCTGGTCAGTTGTCCTGCAGTATGCATGGGTTTGTTGGAGTCGTTCGTTCCTCTAGAGTTCTTACAGACCAGAAGTCAGAGCAAAGCCTTCTTAAACCCAGGTTTAGTTCCAGTTGCGGTAAGAATATTTCACAGGTGGTACTATTTCCTATAGCATTAAGTGAGAAGGCATATGACGTCTGGTTGTTGAACTTGTAGTCGATTGATCAACAGGTTCAGGTGGTGATGGCCTTAGCTTTTCATCGTAGGGTTTCCCATCTGTCTTCCCTGTGGGATGCTAAACCACTGATACTTTTTGCCTGGAGCCAATTGATTTATTAGGAGTTGCGAAGTGATCACTTTCTAGCCATGTTCACTACCTCTGCACATATTAATGGATGTTACCAGAACTTCTCGCACACCGTGGCTGTTTGGTTAACTTGAAATGCGCTTCAGATCAGAAAAGCAAAATAAATAAAGGGAGAATAATTAAGCATCCATTTTCGGAGCAATGAATTGGTGTCCTAGCAACCTACAGTGATGCCCGGTGAACTTTGTTTCTCTCTTTTCTAAATATCCTTTTGAGCTCACGACTGTTCCTGTATTCAGTATGTTTTAATATAAATTGCAGGCACTATGCCTTCTGTGGCCGTGTCCCATCCTTGGCAACTGGGAGCCGCTTCAGGCTGGCTCCTGTGTCCTTTTGGTACAACCGTATTTACCTTTGATGGCTTCCTTGCTTTTCGGCTCAACAAGATATTTCAGGTTAATCTTCTCCATTTCATGCCCCTGGCAGAGGATCATGGATTTTTCTGAGCAACCTTGTTTTCCGTATGTAGCACCTATCTTGATCTCTACACTGTGAGGCGGAAAAAGTCACACTCTGCCCTCCATAGCTGATCATACAGTTTACACATAGACATTGTGCCGTTTCTGTATTTGTTGTTTGTATTCAGTGTTTGTATTCAGTCCCCAGCCCAGGGTAGTGTGATCTTTCCCCTTGTTCTTGTGTCTTATCTACAGTACAAGCCTACGTTCAGCTTAGTATTTCCTCTTCCTTCGCCTCAGCCTTTCATTGGCTTAGTACTCCGTTAGTCTCCCTTGTGCCATATTTGTTTAATGGGTTTACGTCCTCTTTCAAGAAATTTATAATTTTCTGGAGGTTAGCACGTATCCAGCACTTAGGAGTTGAAAAGTAACTCTGCAAGGGAACATGGTGATAAGTGAATAAATATTAATTGAATCAAAAGACATATTTTGCTCGGCCAAGTTATGGCCACGTTTGCCACCAATTTGACACCAGTAGTGCCAGTGCTACATTTAAATTTTTTTTAAGGTTTTATTTATTTCTGAAAGAGAGAGAGAGAGCGTGAGCAGGGGAGGGTCAGAGAGAGAGGGAGACACACCATCCGAAGCACGCTCCAGGCTCCGAGCTAGCTGTCAGCACAGAGCCCAACGCGGGGCTCGAACCCACAAACCGTGAGATCATAACCTGAGCCCAAGTCGGACGCTTAACTGACTGAGCCACCCAGGCGCCCCCTATGTTTAAATCCAAGCCAAACTAAATCATAAATCTTCACGCTGGCCCTTCAAGTACAGGTGATTTCAAAGTATCCCAATTAATGCATGGGAAAGGAGGGACAGATACTCTATTCAGAGAATTAAAAACTGTTGAGTCTTTGGTTCTAGAATGGAGTTTTAAGGCACACTCAAGAAAAGTGCTTTCCGATGGTCATTCCTTTTGGTGCCTGGCCTCTAGCCCTACTTGGCCTCACTTCATCATCAGTGGCCCCGAACTGGGCCGATAAGTAAGTTTCAGAAGCAAGGCCAGCTGCCTGGCAAAGCCTACTTGTGGTGATTTGAATTGCCTTGGATTTTATTTGTCATCTTATGAACCATTTCGTGTACTGCTAAATGAGCAGGCTTGTTAATGGTTTTCATGGAAGAATGGAAACCAGAAAAGCCAGACTACCTGCAACACTTAAAAATGGGACCCTGCACCTGGGTGGTTCAGTAGGTTAAGCATCCGACTTTGGCTCAGGTCATGATCTCACGGTTCGTGGGTTCGAGCCCCATGTCGGGCTCTGTGCTGACAGCTAGCTCAGAGCCCGGAGCCTGTTTCAGATTCTGTGTCTCCCTCTCTCTCTGTCCCTCCCCTGCTCACGCTGTCTCTCTCTCTCTCTCTCTCAGAAAAAAAAAAAAAAAAAAAAAATTAAAAAAAAATGGGACCCTGGCCCTGTAAGAGCACTGAAGCCACCCATCATATGATGAGACTGGGCCAGTTTTCTTTATGATTACAGTTGGAAGAAGTGGCTGAAGTGATACGCCCCACCTGTGTGCTTCCTTCGTCCTCTTCTCTTACCCCCCAGGAAGAGGCTGGGGAGTCTTGGGAATATAAAGAATAAAAAGATTCATTTTAGGGGCGCCTGGCTGGCTCAGTCGGTTAAACATGCGACTCTTGGTTTCAGCTCAGGTCATGATCTCCCAGTTCGTCTGCCCCTCCCCCATTTGCAGGTGTGTGTGTGTGTGTGTGTGTGTATGCGCACGCGCGTTCTCTCTCTCCCTCAAATAAATAAACTTAGAAAAAGATTGATTTTACAATGGATTTGTATTCCTGTTCCGACAACACTTCTTGGGTGTTCTTATAGGCCCTGTGATAGCCTTGGAGTTCAGTGGAGATGGGGCTGTAGAAGGGTGCCACTTCATCGTCAATGAGATATTCAACGGAACCAAGGTACAAGATTTTATTGACTGTTTCTATTTCAATCACGCCTTTCATTTCATTTCCTTTTCCTTATGGTCAAACAGTGCTTTCATCCCTGCCGTTGCTTGGAGTTAAAGAAACCCAGCAGATCATGACTTTTTAGAATCTATGGTAAATAATCGGGAGCTAAGCTTTGGTTTTTCCTTGCCAAATTAAAATTTTAACAGCTTAAAAATTTACGAAATAAGAATCTACTAATTTCAAAACCTTCAATAAATAACATGAGTTTCTAATGTAAAAAGTCTCAGTAAATGTCTCTTTAAGTCCTTCCTTTTTGAAAACTAATGATATGCTGGAAAATGTTGTATTTCTAAGATTTTATACTTTGGGCAGATGAACCTCGCCCACTGTTCTTTTTTATTTGCTTCAGTAATTCATCAAATATTGAATTTCAGCTACATCTAGAAATCATTACATGTAGGCATGTAATGAGGTTGCTGTATCTAAGGATTTCAGACTTAGTAACTTAATATAACTGAGAAACCAAACATATAAGAGTATTAAATGAGTACTAACATTACTTTCTGATAAATATCTGAGATGAAATGTTCAGTTTTGCTCTCTGATTTGGCTTATAGTTTCTTTTTTCTTTTAATATTTTTTAAATGTTTATTTTTGAGAGAGAGGAAGTGGGGGAAGATGCAGAGAGAAAGGGAGACAGAGAATCCTAAGCAGGCTTCAGCTGTCAGCGTGGAGCCCGATGTGAGGCCCGAACCCATGAACTGAGACCCCCGAACCCAGCCAAAATCAAGAGTTGGACGCTTAACCAACTGAGGTGGCCAGGTGCCCCTGGGGCTTATAGTTTCTTGAATTTGCCATAATTTAAAGAACATTGTCTTTGGTCTCATTTTATCACCACAACAGTACTGAGGGGAAGGGTAGACGTCATTAGGTTGAATAGAAAAGGAAGCAAGGAGAAAATGGGTGTATGATTTGGAAGTTTCAGATCCGAGTGAGTCAGAGATCATCTAATCGAGCGTTCCCATTTTACAGGTGTAGCAAGTGAGTCCAGAGAGGTTTATTGAATTATCAGCCTCATACAGCTAGTCTATGAGAAAGCTCGACTAGAACCCACGTCCCCTCCAACTCCTGGCTGCCATCTGTAAGAACAGTCCTCAAAGGGTTCTACTGAGTACTACTTTACTGATGTTTAGAAAATATTTTATTTAAAATTAGTAATATATGTAGAGCAGCTTTCCTAAAGATAATCTCAGGTTTTGCTACTCAGCATATTGAGATTGTTCTTAGGAGATAGAAGAAACTGAGAGTTCTTTAAATAGGGGCTGCCTGGGTGGCTCAGTTGGTTGACCCACCAGCTCTTGATTTTGGCTCAGGTCATGATCTCACAGTTGGGGGGGGGGGGTCAAGCCCTGCATCGGGCTCTGAGCAGACAGCACAGGGCCTGCTTGGGATTCTCTCCCCCCTCTCTCTGCCCCCTCCCTTGCCCATGCACACGAGGGCGTGTGCGCTCTCTCTCTCTCTCTCTCTCTCTCTGTCTTTCCCGATGCTCCTCCCCCACTCCCGCTCTCAAAATAAATAAACATTTTTAAAGAAGAAGTCTTTAAATAAACCTCTTTATTCAGAGGCTTTCATAATATTGACTGTTGGATATTTACAAAACAGTAAAATCCCAAGTGTGATAAAGTACGACCGAAGTATTATGAAAGCAAAGACCGTAATTATACCGTAAGTGCTTTTAAAAGAGTTCAGTGTACATTACAGCTACTGAAACTATAGTGCATGCATTCTACAGAATACCGATTAAATATCACAAACGATGTACTTGAATTTCTTTTTAATAGCAAGCTTGTGACCGTTCTGCCGACGATGTGGGCTTTGGAATTGGGGGATTACGGTATTCATTTTCTTGCCTCTTTTACATTTAAAATAGATGTTTGTATCAGAAAGCAAGGACACAGCAGCCGGAGACGTGGACAGCTTCTACAACTTCGCTGACATACAGATGGGAATATGACGTGCAGCGTGGAGCCAAGGACTTGGGATCGAGCCCTTTTTAAGTTGTGTGTTAGCAGCGGGTTTTACTGATGTTAAAACTGTCAAAGCGTAGTTTTAAATAAACTGTTGAATCCTGCAGCGTTTACTTCAGGTTTGAAAACGGTTCGTTTTGGGGGGCGCCTGGCTGGCTCAGTCGGTAAGAGCGTGTGGCTCTTGATCTCAGGGTCGTGAGTTCAAACCCTGCACTGGGCGCCGAGCCTACCAAAAGTAACAAAACAAAATTTCACTTTAAATTAAAGTAGTTTTCATCAGCTTAAAAACTAGCCCACTTAAGTAAGCTTGCGGTTTTGTTTCCCTGCTTACGATGCTGTTATTAGGACATGGAAGTGGCTAGCAGTTCATACTTTTAATCCCAATTAAATATTCTTTCAAATCCCCAAGAATTTAAACTTGCCTCGCGGCTCCAGAATAGTGTTTGAGAATACATTCCATCGTTTCTTTTCTTTTTTAATTTAAGAGATCCGTTACTAGTTGATCAGTTAAAACATTTTTTTCACGGATACATATTTAGTTAAGTAATTGCTTCCTAGTTGCGTACCACGGCAAGTGAGATTTTGTACGTGGAACGGACATGATGCTTTGTAAATTGAATTTCTTTTAACTAATAGTTATTCGCTGGCCAGTTTTGCAATGAACCCTACTAACTGACGTTGGTATAGCTGTTTAAAGACTACTTTGTGAGTAGTAATAATTATTTGAATAAAGCCCACACGGTGTAGTTTTTTTCTAGTACAACCACCAGATGCCTCTTCTGCTTCTCGGTGAGAAAAGGGACGCACAACACAAAGTCCAGGAGCCCCATGACTGGCGCTTTTCAGAAAGGCGACATCACCTGCTCGTGTGGGCCATCAGAAGAACAGGCTTGTGGCTTTTGGGTGTGCGATGACAAGCTACGCAGATGACTGAAAAGCTAGAGAAAAGTGATGGTCATTCGGTGCCCCGCCCGCCGAGCTCTGCTCACGTGTGATGAAATTGCTCACACTGCGTTCCAGCATGAGTGTCCAAACCAGCCCGGCCGAAACCACCCCAGGAGGCAGGGGAGAGCTGCTGGCTAAAAACCCACATTCCTGGACCCAGTCCCCAGATGACTCCGATCCAGTCTCCTGGGGAGTCCCGGCGGTGACGAGTTTGCCGTAATCTAAAGTAATCAGCTCAGAAGATGTGGACGGGGCAGGCTGGCGAGAAGGGGCTGAGCACGTCATGCCCACCATAGTCAGCAGCGAACAGGAACTTAGCTTTCATAGGTCTATTTTTAAAAGGAACCTTAAATTTAAATCTATTTTGGTAAGCCAGAACTGCAAATAGCCACTGATTAAAAATCCCTCTTACGACTGTTAACAAAAACTGTATTTTCGTATGGTAACTGCTTTTGGATACCTATTCAGATTCATTTGCAACTCCTACCCTGGACTGTGCGTTGCCGTTCAGAAATAACACAAAGACTTTTCACGTTAAATTAATGATAGTGCCCACCTTCCCTCCGTCCGGCCTCGTGCTTGCCATAGCATAGCATCATTTTGGTCTTTTCTAAGAGCGTTCTGCGCTATCTGATCAACCTCTCCTCAAATCAAAATGATTTCATAAGACACAAAAAAATCGGCGATGGGCTTAGCATCATTTCGCTCATAACTTACAAATAAGCCTGGCAATGAACGGTCGTAGGGCATCCACTCTTCCCACAGTTCAGCTAAATGGATTCTGTTCCTTCTGATCATTAATGAAACAATACGATCAGTGTGAAACCCTATGAGGAAACCCCTTCTGATCATTATTAAACCCTGTTAGTCACGCTTTAAAATTATTGCAGTACTTTTCGTTTTTAAAAAATATAATCCAAAAAGATTCTTTTTGATGATTGGGTATTCCTGCCACTATGTGACACGCGCCTCCCTCAAATCCTGCTATGGCCTCGGCACGTTACCCACACGTGAAAAAAAAAAAAATAACACAATGTCACGCAACGCTGTAAACTGAGTTCTTTATTTTAGCTACAGTATTTTGGCAAAAAACTCAGGAATACAACATATAAGGGAGAAGTTAATTTTTTTTAAATATCCACTAAATTTACAATCTACTAACCAAAGCCTAAAATTTTATATTCGTCAGGTGGATGAGAACTTTTACCTAAGCTTAATTTGTCTTTAAGGACAGTCATTTGGCTTCTGAATGTTTGAAAAACTTTTTAAAAATAAATAGCGCTGTGGTCCTTCTTTCGATAATTCTAAACGCTGATAGTAATTATATTACATTTAATTTTTGAATAGCTTTTGAATTCATGAACATTTATTAGCAATAAAAAATCAGCAATTTCATTAAGTTATACATGTTTAAATGTTATATTAGCTTATTTCTCTTGTGTTATTAGTACTGCTGTTTTTGCTTCTGTATATTTCTGTCTAGCTTTGTATGTAATTTATATCTAGTGTTTATAAAATGTGATTTGTAATAAACGTTGTTAAAATGAAAATGGCTGGGGCTCTGGCTGGCTCAGTGGGTAGAGTGTACGACTCTTGATCTCAGGGTCGTGAGTTCAAGCCCCACATTCGAGGGTAGCATTTACTTTTCAAAAATTAGAAAAAATAAAATGAAAATGGCTTAATGCTAATTTTAAAGTGCATTTCTATAACACACATTTACTTGTACGTGTGCCAAGATTTGATCATGGCACACATTTTTTTAATGAAAAAAGTAAAATAGAATGTTCTGATCTCTGTCTTGTGCTAATGAGAAATGAGCTGTGTGTTCTGTGTGTGTGTACAAAGCACTCTAGAGAAATCCACAGGAAGCAGAAAACTTGTTTTAATCTCAGGAATCTCCAATATAATTCTTTCGTTGTGAAAGATACATTTTCTTATGATTGAATATTTACTAAGATTAGGCATTTCTCTCTTCCATATTTAATAAAATAATGAATTGTTTGTGATATAGTTTCTTTCAGGATTATACAAATGGACCTTATTTTCAAATTACTACCAGATTTCCTGGGCTTTTTGTACCCAACCTCTCCCTCCGCTAGCCCGTAAGGTACTGAAACTGCAGATTGGTTAGCTTTTTTAAATAAGATCAGAAATACTGAAACTATAGATTGGTTAGTTTTTAAAATAACATTCATTATTTTTTTTCTATGTATGAAGCTTCTCCATGTACATTTAGAACATGAGGGGGAACTAGAAATGCACAAAGCAATAGAAAAATTCCTTCCTATCTATTGGATAAGGCTCACTGTGTGGAGTTTAAATTTTATTTTTCTCACTTAAAAGGGACATATTTAGGGGCACCTGGGTGGCTCAGTCAGTTAAGCGTCTGACTTCAGCCTGGATCATGATGTCACTGTTCGTGAGTTCTAGCCCCACATCCGGCTCCGTGCTGACAGCTCAGAGCCTGGAGCCTGCTTCGGATTCTGTGTCTCCCTCTCTCTCTTCCCCTCCCCCTCTAATGCTCTATCTCTCTCTCTCAAAAATAAATAGCATTAAAAAAAATTTTTTTAAAGGGACATACTTTGTTCCCTGTAGGAAGAAACGATACTGTCATTAGAGTATGATTACTCCTTCAAAATCCATTCTAGAAGATAATTTATCCTTTAAAAGCATAACACTAAAAAATTTGAATTTTAGTGATGAAAACCTTTTTGTCTGAAAATGGAGTCATTCACCATTGACTTAGGTTTTCTTCTCCAGTAGGTAGTGTTGGAGGGGTCGGCAATCAGTCTTCCACAGTAAGCCTTTAAACTACATATTTCTCTTTTGACATTTTGGCTTTTAGTGGGCAACTCCAGCAAGACGATCAGAAAAACAGTCTCTTCCTTTTCTGGTGTTTGGGGGCTTTCCTGGTGAGGACAGGCTCTCACCTAGATGGTGAGGGGCAGGAGCACAGGTAGGCCGAGCCCCGGCATTGTCACTTGGGCTCGGATCTTCCTCCCCCTCCCCTTCCTGCCTTCCCCATTTTAATTTAATGTGGTGCGCTTGTAATCGTACTACTGAGAAGTAACTGGCGAGCGGTATGACAAGTAATTAAATGATGTTCATAAAGTGTCCTGGAAGAGAAAACATTTGAGTGTTAAGTATTCACAAAGCGAGGATGGTGTTCTTCTCAAGCAGTTCAGCTGGGTAGCCAGACACCCACCCACAAATAAGCAACTGAACAAGACAAAAACATGCATAAGAGGCTGTTAAGACTTAAGTGTTGTTCTTTTTTTCTTTTTTTTTTTTTAACATTTATTTATTTCTTGAGAGAGAGACACAGGGTGCGAGCAGGGGAGGGGCAGAGAGACAGGGAGACACAGAATCAGAAGCAGGCTCCAGGCTCCGAGCTGTCAGCACAGAGCCCAGCATGGGGTTCGAACCCACAAACCGCAAGATCACGCTCTGAGCTGAAGTCAGATGCTTTTTACATTTGTCAACTGTAGGTCAGTTTTTTAGGTTCGTTAATAAAACCTATTGGGGCACCTGGGTGGCTCAGTTGGTTAAGCGGCCAACTCTTGATTTTGGCTCAGGTCATGATCTCATAGTTGCAAGATTGAGTCCCGTGTCAGCTCCTCACTGACAGCATGGAGCCTGCTTAGGATTCTCTCCCTCTCTCTCTACCCCTCCCCTGCTCATGCTCTCTCTTAAGATAAATAAAGTAAAAAAAAAACAAAACTTTTTTTTTTTAATTTTTTTTTTTAATGTTTTATTTCTAAGAGAGAGAGAGACAGCGTGAGCAGGGGAAGGTCAGAGAGAGAGGGAGTCACAGATTGAAACAGGCTCCAGGCTCTGAGCCGGCAGTCAGCACAGAGCCTGACGCGGGGCTCGAACCCACGAACCGCGAGATCATGACCTAAGAGAAAGTCGGACGCTCAACCGACTAAGCCACCCAGGCGCCCCACAAAAAAACTTTTATACGTGTCCCCGTTTATGTGCACCTAACCCCAGCTTGTCCACCCCAGACCCCCTGAAGGCCAACCCTAGTCCCCTTCGCAGCCCTCATTCCGCTCGAGCCGGATGAAAGAAACTATCCCGAACCAGGAGGAGCCCGCCTAACAGCCGGCACAAGTGCACATCGGTAGGGAGGCAACTGCTCGCCAAAAGAAGATCGCTCCTATAACAGCTAGCGCTGGAGCGCCTGGGTGGCTTGGTCGGTTAAGCGGTCCGCTAAGCGTCTGCCTCTTGATTTCTTGCTCAGCTCATGATCTCGTGGTTGTGAGATCGAGCCCAGCCTCGGGCACCATGCTGGTCATGGAGGCTGCCTGAGATTCTCTGTTTCTCCCTCTGTCCCTCTCCACCACTCAAGCTCTCGGTCTGTCTGTCTGTCTCTAATAGGAAAAAAAAAAAAGAACAGCTAAAGCAGATGATGAAAAAACGTTCAGGTCTCCTGAGAGGAGTTAGTGGTAAACAATACCGTATTGAAGAGGTGCATATGTTCACAACCCAAGCAAAAGTGAGTGATCCACTTTCCCAGTGCTAAAGTGCAGGCATCCCCGGCCGTGAACACTTTCACCACTACAAGCTGTGCTGGGACCAAGCAGCTGATGGAGATGGTACCCAGCATCTTTTTTTTTTTTTTAACGTTTTATTTATTTCTAGGAGAGAGAGAGAGAGACAGCGTGAGCAGGGGAGGGTCAGAGAGAGAGGGAGTCACAGACTGAAACAGGCTCCAGGCTCCGAGCTGGCAGTCAGCACAGGGCCCGATGCGGGGCTCGAACCCACGAACTGCGAGATCATGACCTAAGCGAAAGTCGGACGCTTAACCGACTAAGCCACCCAGGCGCCCCACCCAGCATCTTTTTAAAAAAATTTTTTAAACATATATTTGTTATTGAGAAACAGAGAGAGACAGTATGAGCAGGGGAGAGGCAGAGAGGGGGAGACACAGACTCCGAAGCAGGCTCCAGGCTGAGCCCAACGTGGGGCTCAAACTCACAAATCGCAAGATCATGACCTAAGCCAAAGTCAGATGCTTAACCGACTGAGCCGCCCAGGGGCCTCTGTACTCAGCATCTTAAACCAGCTTGGTGCTGACAGTCTGACCAGTTAAGGGAGACGGGCTGAAACTGCCCACGTAATCTGTGGGTGGAAAAGCACCACTTGCCACCAGAGAGGAGGAGGAGAATAAAGTTCCAGATCTTGTGGAGAATTTCGATGAGGCTTCTGAGAACGAAGCACACTGAATGGAGTCAATTGCTGAAGATACAACTTGAGGAAGTTACTGGGAGCTGCTGTTTTATATGAAGACTGCTTATTAAAATTGTGTTCAGGGATCCGATAAAACCTAGATCTCTCATATTTTTAAGCCCAAGACCCTTGAAGACTTCTGCTCTTTTCAGTTTCTGCTTATATTCCATTCATTCTTTGCAGCCGTTAGGCTGAAGAAGCCTGGAAATAAAGTTTGAAATGAGGTTAATAAAGTTCCCTGCCTTGGGGCGCCTGGTGACTCAGTCGGTTAGGCATTCGACTCTTGGTTTGGGCTCAGGGCCTGATCTCATGGTTCATGGGTTCGGGCCCCGCATCGGGCTATGTGCTGACGGCATGGAGCCTGCTTGGGGTTCTGTCTCCCTCTCTCTCTGCCCCTTCCTTGCTCACTTGCTCACTCTCTCTTGCACCCTCTCTCTCAAAAATAAACATTTAAAAAAGAATATTAAAAAAATAAAATAATAAAGTTCTTTGCCTTTATTAAATAAAGAAGTAAATAATCAAACCTTTTCTACTGTTTCACCCTAACTTCCAAACAGATCCTATGTTAAATAATTTTAAAGTTTATCTCATTAGAGTCATCTAGTTTTAGTCCTTTGAAGGGTCTGGACATTTTCAGTCCCTCATCTTACAGATGAGAAAATCGAGGGTCAGAAAGTTGAATCACTGGGGGCCCCTGGGTGGTTCAGTCGGTTAACCGTCCGACTTCGACTCAGGGCATGAACTTGTGGTTCGTGAGTTCGAGCCCTGCATCAGGTTCTGTGCT